CCACACATTCGCACAAGCAACGAAAATGCCCTTTTATCCTTTTCTCTTCCAAACTGAATATTGGATGGAACAAAGGTGGAAGCTATTTTTTAATTGCTAAATTTATCATTAAGACTGTCGTTATTCTACAGATGGATTTGACTTATTGGTTTTTGCTCTTATTTCTCAGTACATCGGTTAGTATGTACCTGCGGCATTTTTCCTTTTTTCAAGTCTTCTAACTCTTTACTTATTTATAGAAATCAGTTGGACATGTATTATTGTATTAAATATCCATCTTTCTCTGTTCCACTACCGGTTAGCAACCTGCTTATTTGTGAAGTACTAAAGTCACTTTTGGATTTGTGAATAGGTTCATATGGAGAGGTGTACCAGGCTGATTGGAATGGCACGGTGAGTAGTATTATATGACTTGGATTGTTTGTAATTAGTTATATTCCATTAAAGCCTTCCAAGAGAATGAAAGATATCGGACTAGCCGGCAAGGAGAACAATAATGTTCTTAGCTTATTCTCTCACCCTCCCTCCTCTCTGAAGGTGTGAGTTCCTTTAGTGAGTCCGTTTTGTGTGTATTCGAATTCCTTAATTGCAGATGACATTTACCTGAATACAACAGATTGATTTTATAAAAGCTATCTGAAGAACAACAGATTGTTTTTAGGTAAATGTGATCTGCAATTAAGTTCCAAGCCTTCTCATTATTTATTTTTACCTAGAGCATGTGTGTTTTTTAATAAAAGAAATTGCAGATTTGTGGAGGTACATGCATAATGAGATAATGTGCTCCCTGTGTACATTATGTAAAATTTCGAGCTTGTCTATTTTTTCTTCCTCACACTCTCACCCCCATACCCTCTACCCCACACCCCAACCTCCACCGCTCTACCTACAAAAATAAACCTGAACTGGTGGCTGATGCATGTTGTTGCTGATATTTTGACATACATGTGGTTTGCTTTTGATTACCAGGAAGTAGCAGTGAAGAAATTCTTAGATCAAGATTTTTATGGGGACGCTTTGGATGAGTTTCGAAGTGAAGTACGTACATATCATTGTTGATATATAGATTTTCTTCATTTCTTTGCATTTTCATTTTTTTAGAATAGCTTATTTTAGTATGGTCTTGCACCATTGAGAAGCCAGTTTTGAAAAGTGGTGGTTGCATTTGATTAGGTGCGGATAATGCGCAGACTGCGACATCCAAATGTTGTTCTTTTTCTAGGTGCTGTTACTCGTCCTCCCAACCTCTCAATTGTTTCTGAGTTTCTTCCAAGGTATAAGATTTTTTTTGTATTTTTACAACTAGCACGATGTTATTTGAATGCCCATTCTAGTTCATTGAAATTTATCCTAGGAGTTAAATATATGCTTACGTTAAAACTTGGGTTGGAATTTACATTGATTGTATATATGTATTCTTTGTTCTAACGTAGATTGACTGTTGTCTTATTCTTTCACACTGTAGTTATTTATCTGTTAAAATGTTTTCATCTATACAAACAATTGGATTACAATAGATGAAGTATGTACTTTGGTTCCTATGGATAAAGTTCCCTCAATATCTTGTTCATTCGCAACAAAATGTTTTCATTTTGATCTTTTTTTCCTACTCGTCTTGATCCATCAGTCAGATTAGTTATTATTTTAATGTCCCTCATAATTGTCTTAGGTTATGTTTGTCTTTTTCATAGTGAGAGTATAGCTCATGTTTGTTTTTTCATCCGGTCGGGACTATTTTTAAGGAAGGAGTAATTATAATACCTAAAAGGGGGAGTCAAATAAACCCATCCCACCCTATCTTTACAATATAGGTATTAATCATCTAGGGGGATTTACATTTTTTAGCCAAAAATGCTCTTAGTCTTTTAATTTAACCAAATTTTATTTTAATCCTACCAATTTTTATTATAATTCTATCAAGTGTCTTTTTTCTGCGTTCTTTCTTTGTGATTTTTCACTGCGAATTAAGCCGCATTTTTCGCGTCTTTTTCGTTCGCCGTGAGTTTCCTCTGCAAAACTGCTTTCTTTCGTGTCTTTTTTGTTTTGTCTTTTTTAGCAGAAAACAACAAAAAAGTAGTTCTTTATTCGCTTGTACTTTCTTCAAAAGGAATAATAATTGAAACCATTCATGTTCAATACTAGCATGCAATCAAATCATAAATAAGTTAGGAATTTATACAAATCAATTTCTTACGAATTGAATTTCTTAATGTAAGTATATTGAATTTTTAACATGCCTCTAAAGATAATTTATGACCTATTGTTTCTTTCATTTATTCCTTACTGTTTCTAGTTTTTGTTCTCTCTCGTATTTAGGATCGTCAATTGTTCTTCAATTTTTGTAATTTCTTCATATAGAAGTTATTTTTTTCATTTGGGAGTCACAATAGTATTTTTAATACACTTTACCATCTTACAAACACGATGCATCATATGAATACATCATTTAATTGTCATAATCCGTGCTTTATCAATGTCATTTTTCCAAGATAACGCTTTGATTCCTTAGAAGTGGATATATTCAATTTATAGTGTTCAATATGACAAATCACTTTAAGTCTATATAGCATTATTTTTATTTTTTTTGCTAAATAGATGCATTAATACATGACTTGAGGACATGAAAGTCATTTTGATTAGATATTAGTGTGAATGGTCATGACCCCCCTAAAAGCAAATACTGGTATGGACTATTTTGAGTTAGTTTGAATGTTAGTTTGAGTGAAAACAAATATTGAACTAGACTAAAATAGTTCTAGGATATCATAGTCTAAGGACTATAGTTCGAAAGACACGAATACCTTAGCGCCAAGGATTAAAAACAAAGTGGCCCTAGCTTTGTGTAAAGGCTGCGTCCTGTCGCGTCCGCCCCCCGACCGGCCGTCCGCCTCAACCCCCTCCCGCCCCGCAGCTCGCACCCCGCCGACCTCCGCCGCCCATCATCCTCCACCCACTCACTCCAACCCTGCTCTAGCCCTGGAGAACTAGCTCCCACCACATCGCACATCAATTACCCCTTGTCAGATCCCTCTCCAACACTTCAGACCACCCCTCCCCGGCCGCCTCCTCGGGCCTTTTCACATGCTTATTTCTCCTCTTGCAGCTAGTATTGGACAAACAATCATGTTTTTGTTGGTGGGAGTTTGAATTTAGACAATGATGGAAAATGGTTACGCTATCTTGAAGAGCGGTAAGCATTTACTAAGATGTTAGATCATAATACCCTTGATGAATGATATAGGTCTACATGTTTGGTTGTTTCTAGTAAAGATCTTCAATGTATCTAAGAATGTATTTGTACAGAGTTTTGGAATTAATTCAACCACCATTTTTTAGCTTCCCATTTAGCCTTTATATTCCATGAAAATATATTTGTGTATCCGTCATATTTCACAGTAAGAAACCATCACATTTTCATATCACATGAGTACCCCAAAATAAGGTACATCGCATAAGTTGTCAGGATTGCAATAGTGATGTTTGGGAGGCCCTAGAACTTAATGATCGAAGCAACTATAAGTATGAGATGGATTATATGAAGACGTGTAGGAACGTGAGAACTAAGAATAATGTTCGGAAAAATCATAAATTATTATAGAAGATGTACTATAGCAATCAACACGTATTTTTGCTATTGTAGGAAGTACTATAACAATAGTAGTCATGAGAGGCTATGACAACCTATATTGTAGTATTTGCAAGATTAGCAATCGTGGGCAATGACAAAAATAATTATAACAGTTGTAAAAATGACCTAAAAATTCTAAAAAAATGATTGTAGCAATCATAAGTGCAATCATAAGTGCAATCATAAGTGCTATAGCCATTGCCAATGTTCAAAAACACGATTTAATTATATGTGCGGATTGAGAGTGCTTAATGATTAATTTGGTTATGCATTGATCAATTGGATTATGCGGAATTGTGCAATTTTGGATTTATAATATATATTTATTATTTATCATATATTAAACTGCATAAAAATTCATGAAAAATAGAATATATGCTTAGAAGCTCCGGTAATCTTTTTTGCTGGAGAGCTTCGAAGGGAATGCTAGAGAACTTGAAGTGATCATCAGAGAGTGTGTTGGGAGAGCATCCGAGGTCGTACAATATTTCTGTGAGTTTTTGCAAATAGCACAAGATCAAGCAATCGTCGACGAAGACCGAAGATATTTGTTGTAGCCGCTGGGTTTGATCAAGATAGAAGAGTAGCTTAACTTTGGGAAAACTTTAGAGTTGGGGTTTTTACTTTAGTAATCGGGTCCAATTGTAGTAAACAGGTTTAACCCAAACAAGATTTAAAGAAAAGTGCATGCATAAAAAAACTATGTGAGCGCTTACTGAAAATGCGCCTAATTATGCGAATGCCCACAAAGTAGAACGCTTTTACCATAATCTGAGCCTGCTTAGGCATAAAGTAGCCGCTTGATCCGCATTTTAGTACGCTATCCCATTGTAGTAATTTTTGTGGCAGTAGCAAAATTGTGTTGGTAGGTTTATGTATTACTATATTGTTCACATGCCTAAAATCTACCAGTGGATCTCTTAGCTCTGATTAGAAAATCGTGATGTCCAAAATGGGTAAGGAATTAGAGTTTGAGTAAGGGGATGACTAGAATTTTTGTAGATATTTGGAGGGAAAAAAGAGAAGTTAGGATTGGATATCTCATTGGATTCATTCCGAGATAAGGGTTTATACTTAAAATTAGGGTTCTATACCTAATAGTCACCACTAATCAATTAGTCATCAATTATCAATAGTCACCAATAATCAATGTTTTTTTTCTTCCATTCATCAAATTGCCATTCAGTGATGAGAAAATGAAGTATTATAGCCGTTTAATTGGTCAAATGAATTTAAGAATTAAGAAACCTAATCAAATGAGGAGGAAACTGAAAGATCTGCTTTTTTATTACGCTTATAATTGATAAATAAAATCAAAAGTATTTTACCTTTTCAAAGATTTGAAAAAAGAAAATCATTTGTATATTATATAACTAACCCAAAATAATTAGATGCTTTGCTAAATTTTCCATCTCTTCAAGCATGAACGAGATTGACTCCCACTCTCAATTGTATAATCCTCTTATGAACTATTTCGGCATCAAAGAGCCATAAAAAACGGTAGGAAATAAGATATTTGGGAGATAATTTATGTCTTACATCCAAAAGTGACCAAACTCTTCAGAGCTAAGACACATTTTGGGAGAGAATTTACGGTTGTTAGAGTATCTTCTTATTAGGAAGAAATATACAATAACACAAATGGAGATCTTTCTATTTTAGAAGGATCTATTTTAAGGAAATTTTCTACAAGGTAATGGGTAAGAATAGACTGTAGCAGAACACTTTCTGATTTAGGCAGCCATAATTGACTATAATCTATACTTGGTATGTTGGCAATTTATGAACGCTTAGTAACAATTTATATGGAAAAGGTATGCACCTACTTAGTGCGTAAAAATATACTTAAGAATTTAGGCCATCCTAGGATTGGCCACTACTAACACTATTTCATATATGGTTCTGCCTTTGTTGGCTCTGTAGCCAGTCTCTTGCATACGGTCATCTAATTTGCATATAGTGCATAGCGTATACGTACTTTGTAGGATGATTCTTACACTTACACCCTGGGAAGTTAATCTTCTATGTATATAGTCATGAAACATTGTTAAACATATACAACTAAATTTAATCTTTCTCATGGTAAATTTTAAAATCACCCTTCAAATATTGTTGTTTGCTCATAAGCAGAAAAAGATGACATCTTGCACAGCAATATCCATTACCCTCCACAATATGAGCAATCGAAGTACTGTATAACAATAAATTAATGTTACTATTTTATATTTTGCGTTGTCTGCATTTAATACTGAACTTTGTGTATCTACTTCTTTGTTTCTTTTTTGCTTGCATTCCTCTAGCATAGCTAGATTTATACTACTTTCATCAGACCTTTTGCACTTTATATTCTATCAAAAACAAACATCCGTTTTACTTTCAAGGGCCAAAATTTTTCTACCTACAAAATGAAAGATACGTGCATTACCAGTACACTATTGTCCTCCTACATATGGAACTCACTATTTGCAACTGATAACAGAGTCATGTGGGGCCTGCATGTTCTTTATATCAACAACCTTTTATGTAGTAAAGCTTTCAGAAAATTTTGTGGGGATAAAAACAAATTTTGTACTTTAGAAAACTGTAAAATAAAACATCATACATATGCGACTACATTTTTTGCTTCTTTGCTTACGCAACTTTTGTAGAGCTAAATCTTCATGCTGCCTTTATTAATTTAAATCTCCACCTCTCACACACACACACACACACACACATAATGCTTGGTACTAAGCGCTAACTTGGTGCTTGATAGTGAGGTGGTTCATTCCCATCCACTCGCTTTAAGAGGGGACCGCATTCACATGAGTTGAATAATTAAAGGGTCTTTATTTTCAAGTGGGGATCATTTGAATGAGTGGATGAGAATGAGCCACCTCAAAGCCAAGCAGAAAGATTGTGCTTTGTATCAAGCATACCCATTTTCCTTGCACACACACATCTTAATCGACATGTGTTTGCATCAGAACTCTCTTTCTGCACACAATTTCCAGAGAGCTCAATCGTTATGCTATTTTTTTATTATTATTTTCCATCTTGACCTCACAAAAAATATAGTTCCTTCTTAATGAACATGCTATCGTATCAGAACTGTGTGTGAGAAATTTGACTATTCTTAGGGGTTGGGGCATAGTTATATTACTTTACGCCCACCTAGCAAATTACATAGTGTGTTTGTGCATAGTGTGTTTGTAAAATATAACAATCTTTTTCTGTTTAGGTTCTACAGAACATTTATTCTGTCCTAATAAACACAATTTGCATCAGAACAATAAAGGATACATTTTTACAACTTATAGTTTTTGGATTATGAGATTCTTTTAGTTATATTAAGAAAAAGTGTTCATTTTACGACCGCTTGACGTATGAGTAAAAGATTATAAAAAACATGTGATTCTTGTTTAAAGAATTAAATCAATTAATAACATATAGATCAATGTGAACTGATTAGATCATCAAATTTTGATGCACTATCCTGCAGTTTTTTTAGCCGTTCCCTAAGATGAACTTTGTCAGTTTGAACTTATGCTTGTGAAATTCATATATTTTCCACATTATACCTTTGTAGCAGCTTAAGGGCTTGGATTTTTGTCTCATCTATCACTGCTCACTATTTGTTGTTTTCCACACATTACACACTATTTTTAGAACCATACAATTGATCTCGTTTGCACTGTTTGACTACCTCTGGTATCTAAATTGCTAACCTTCATTCACTTTGTAAACGCTAAAGCTGTTTGCATCTCAACATGTCCCCTTTCACTAGTTGGCTTACTTGCTATTTTATTTTCCAGGGGAAGCTTGTACAGGATTCTTCATCGACCTCATTCTCAGATTGATGAAAAGCGTAGGATTAAGATGGCCCTCGATGTGGTACTAGTTCTGAACACTTATAGATCCATGTACTTATCTATAAGTTTTTAAGTGAAAATTTTCCCAACATAGTATTCTTTTTGTTCTTTGTAGGCCAAGGGAATGAACTGTTTGCACACCAGTACTCCAACAATTGTTCATCGTGACCTTAAATCGCCTAATTTGTTGGTTGACAAGAACTGGACTGTTAAGGTATATAATTATGTTTTGCGAAACTAGAACTTTGATTTTGCATGTATTATGTAGTTTTTAGTAGGTTCTGCTTTGGACCACACTTCATATATCCTATGGTTACTCAAATGCTGTTGGTGTCATTATTTTGCACTGCATTTATTGTGTGACGTCAGAAATTACAATCTTAATTACTACATGTTTGTCTATCAGCCCCCTATGTAAAGATGTATCTTTGCTTTGGTTGTTAGTTGTGAATTTTGATAGGTTGTAGGTTCTTGACATCTTGTGGAACTTGCTTTCATTTATAACCATATTTGGGTAAGCTTTTTCACCATGACTACTGCATTATGTTCATTATCTTCTAAACTATGTTAATCTAGATGACCTATTCATTAGAATATTCTTTACCTGTCATCTTATTTGTATGCCCATCTTACTCCGCCTATTCATAATCGTCTACTTTCATCATTGTTTTTGTCAATTACATTGCTATAATAGTAAAATGTTTTGTTCAATAAGAGGGATTTTTTGTCACTTATATGTAGCAACTAACTTGTCCATAGCATTAGCCAAGGATACTCATGTTATTATGCTGTAATGATATGGCACAGGATGTTATTGCGCTGATTCTTTTTAATTGCCAAGAATATGTATGTGCACTGAAAGAAGTATGCACATCCAAAAGTCCAGGAATTATTAAAAAAAAAAATGGTCCGTCGACTTCCATCAATTTGTAGGATCAGCTACAGTAGCAAATTTGTTGAGTATAACTGTCTGAAAGTTCATCTTGTTAGCTAAGTAATGAGTATAGGTTTGTCATAACAGCGAGACTACAGGTTATAGTTGATGATGTCAGTTGGTTTAGAGCAAGTCAAAAATACTGCCTGAACCTTTCCCTGGATAGAGTCCTACCATATGACATTACATTTTTGGAATGATTCGTGTAACTTCTAATGTAACTGTGCTAGGTTGATGCCACTCATTGGAGTTAGAGAGGAATTCTCGACTCTCGAGACATAAAATGCATTTACCAATCTGATGAGCTCAATAGAATCTGTCTTCTCTCATGAGTGTATACCCAGTTACATTTCCCTCTTCTATTGGGAAATACTTCTCAACTGAAATTTCTGACTATGACCTGAAATAATGGGTAATTGCCACCTGTTGCTCCGTACTGGATTGTATGTGCGATGTGCTCTGGCATAGGAAGCCACAGCTCCGAAATACATGCATCAGCCTCATCTAATGCGCGTACTTGTATGCTACCTGATTACGCGTACATCGCCATTATGGTTAATCCTAACTCAGCACATTTCGTAGCTTAATCAGGATTGTGTCCTATCAATTTTAACCACCAAAAATTGGCTTGTCAATGTTCTTGGGGGGAAAAACTCTAATTAGAAGTGGGATATCTTGATCAAATAACAATCCTATACTTAAAGCAAACCCTAACTAATCCTTAGAGCATGCTTGGCAAGCCGGTTGGGACAAAATAATTTGATATTTTTTGGCTTCGTTAGAATTCTAATCCGAGGAAATGGGTTTCTAAATCTCATTTGATCCCATTCTGTTATGCACATGGAAACTTGATGGAATCACAAAATGCTGATGGATCCGTCGTCTACAATTCCAGAATAAAATCTTACAGACCAATTGTTCATTCCTTGTGGTTTTGCCCATTATTATGGAAGCATAAAAATGGAATCAAAGACAAGATTCATCCTATATGCGAACTGTGGCACCAACTTGATTTAGCTGGTTCAAATTCCATTTTATAAACTCATGAAAACCCTGAAAATGAATGAAATTTGCACACTTCTTCATCGAATTCCATTTTTTATTCTTATTGTCCCACTTGCCCTAGAGTCTCTTAGGATCCAACTTATCAGATCCATATATTATCTCATTTAGTTTGGGGGGGGGGGGGGGGGAAATTCAGGTCAAATTTTGGAAGAGAAGTTCGGGTCAAAATTTTTTAAAAGTGACTTTTTAATCCAAAAAAACAATCACTGAAGCTCTAAATTGGCAAAAAACTAAACAATTTACAAATTGAGAGCATTTTGACAAAATGATTGTAGTTCGGCTTGGCTCGATTTAAAACAAAAAAATGCTCCCTCGTTTGATTGACACCTGAATCCAAAAATACTTGTGTGTATCTGAATTATTATCTAGTTGTTGAGTCTACTTTTGTGATTACAGAATCCGTTTCCAGTCACTGTTGTATAAATTATCTGTAAATGACATATGTAAGCTAGATTCAATTATTTTCTCTATCTGCGCCTCTCTTTCTTATCTCTTTGACATCATCAAATTTGCTTATTTTCTCCCTTTAAAATATCAGTTCTGTCGTGTAACTTTATAGGGATCTAGATAGCTCCTATTTTCCTGCAATGCTTTATGAAGTATTTGAGAATCCCCATGTTGCATTCCTGTAATCCCTCATACAATTCTGTAGGCAAAACCAGAGAAGAAAGTGGCAGTTTCTGTTTAGCCTTTTATAAACAGTTTAGGCTAAGCACTTCAAGGTCACTATTTAGTATTATGATTAAATACTTTGTTCATGTAGAAATAGATTTTGAGAATCCACAATCAGCTTTATGTACTGTACAGTTTTTAGAACTCCATTTTACTTGTCACTAGTGTTACCTAGATGAGCTACACAGGTTTTAAGTGGCTGGACATCGTTAGTATCCATCATGGAGACCTCCTGAAAATCTGATATCGAAACATGATAATTACATCGATAGGTATGCAAATATGTAGGTAATTGTGTACGTAATGTGTAACCGACTACAAAATAGGTCAACATTCAACAAATAACTTTCAGTTATCTAATGCGATCTAGTTTAAAAACAGCATAGAACTACTGTACATTGTGATATATTCATAGTTTGATTATGCAAAATGTCTGACAAGAGCATCTTGGTGTCTGACTCGTCAAAAACCTTAATTTTTAAATGTATGGTACTTCTTGTCTGTAGTTCTATGTTGTTTTTTGTCTTAGAAAATACTTTTAGCTCATGGAAGGAAGGTAGGTTGATCTACCTGCAGGAGTTTCCTAGTTCCATCATCATGTATTAGCACCAATTTCATGATATGAGCGAAAATAGGCTCGCTTCAGCCTTATGCCACAATTCTTATTGTGCGGCTACTCAGAGCATCCTTCCTGATTTATAATCAGAGAGAGAAAAGTGAAAAAAATCAACAGGTTTGTTTCGCAATTTTCATTCAGAACCATTGGCAACAATTGGGCCGGTATCTATTTAAAATCAAAGCTAGTGCTTCTTACATAATTCTTGTGCATTTATGATCTGATATATCTTGACATCAACCAATAGTAATTCAGTCCAAGCAACTCAAGTGTTGTATAGCAGTATCTTCTTGAAATACACTCCATTCAACTCCCATAACATGTAGGACATGTTTTGTGAAATTTTGGACAATGTATAGAGAACAGGATTTAAACTTGATTTTCTGATGAACTATTTTACCTCAATAACGTGAGCGATAAATCTTTAAGTTTCCTAGTGCTCTTCGGCAGTGTTTTGGTGACTGATTTACCTTCAAGTTATCTGATGGAGAAGAAAATTGCAGGTTTGTGATTTCGGTCTTTCACGCTTAAAGCACAGTACATTTCTGTCATCCAAGTCCACTGCTGGAACTGTAAGTAGTTAATATTTGTGATGATAGATTTGACTACTTGTGGTATAGGATAGAAATGTTGCATTTTCACTTTAAACTAATATACTTTGTTGTTCCAGCCGGAGTGGATGGCACCTGAAGTCTTGCGCAATGAGCAATCAAATGAAAAGTATGTCTTAGTTTAAGCCTTTTTGTGATAATTTATTTGTTTTGGCTTATCCACCATGCAGTACAATCTTTTCTATTTCTCCTATATATGCTATCAAATAAGTTCGATAAATTGTCAAAGTTCTGGTTACAATTGCTTATACCTTAGGTTTGTCCTATTTTTTTTCCCTCTAAATGGTATGAACCATATTCTCGAGATGATAACGTCCCTTGAAAAATTCCCTCTTTTGGAACTTGTACCAGGTGTGATGTATATAGCTTTGGTGTCATCTTATGGGAGCTTGCAACTCTGAGGAAGCCTTGGCATGGGATGAATCCAATGCAGGTGGTTGGGGCAGTTGGGTTCCAAGATCGACGTCTGGACATCCCAAAAGAAGTTGATCCCTTGGTTGCGAGGATAATTCTGGAGTGCTGGCAAACGTGAGTGTCATGGGATGAAAAACATCTTTTCAAATCTGTGTGGGCTATGCTGTTAAGGGCATAGAACGGAAAAAATTCCCTATAGAGGGCACTCTAGAAAAATCATATAGGGATAGAGATGAAGACGTCTGACCTAGCATGAATCTTGATGCATATATGATTATCAACAATCATTACAATTGCACTAGTAGATAGTACTAACTGCACTATAGCTGATGTGTGCATCAAGATTCATGCTAGTCCAAATATCTTCATTTCTCCCTATACGATTTTGTATTTAGGGCTCTCGCTCCATTTTGTTCATTGATCTTCTTACTCAAATGGCTCTCGTGCTTCTGTTTTCTCAGTGAACCAAGCTTGCGCCCTTCCTTTGCACAACTCATGACCGCGCTCAAATCACTGCAGCGCCTCATGATCCCTCCCCATCAGGAGTCGCAGAGCACACCGCTCCCTCAAGAAATACATGTGAACTCCACGCCTTGAGGTTTCCAATATGTGAATAAGCGATTGAGTATATTTTTTGAAGATTCAGGTTCTGAAAGGAGGAAATGAACAGAAAATGTGCATGCTATAAGTGGTCTGTATCTCTAACTCCCGGGTATTGCTGCTGCATCCAAAAAACTTGTGGCAGTGATTGTATATAAAATGTCAGTGCTGTTGATAATCTTAAAGAGTTTGTGTTGAGTGTGAATGCTGCATCGAAACCGATGAGCATGTTACATATCATGGAGGAAGGGGAAGTGAGGATTTGAATTGGTGAGGTCGAATATCAATCAAATCAATATGATGTATACTATGTATGTTGATAGTGTATTATTGCTGTAAACTAATATCATGTCTTCTGATTGGAATAAGAAGAAAAGAATTGCCTTGATTATACAAAAACCAAAAGGTACTGTTTACTACATTCGCTCTAGAAGATAGTTCATGATGCCAATCTAATTTTTTATTTGTATACATCATTTCTAATCTAATCCTCTGAACTGATGTGTGCTTTCTCTTGGATTTTTGACACTTTCGCAAGATTACAACACCTTTTCTCTCTATATATTTTAGCTTCTGTAGGCGGATTACACATCAAAATCCATGATATTCTCTAAATTTGTGGTTTGCTAAGAGAGTGGATGATGGAGAAGGCCTCAGATGCGTGTGGTATGCAGCAAGTTTTATTGGGTTTGTTATATATTTTTTTCACTAATGCAATACTCATCAATTATTGATGTTGAATGAGGCTCTGATCGCTTGCAGTTTATGAATCCCCAGTGAGTTTTTGAGGCATGGAATCATTCTGCATATTAAAAGTTGCATTGGTTAACCCTAATAAGCAAATGAGCCAGAAAGGTGGCTGATCTTCTAGACTATAAAAATGTAAAGCAAATTATTGTAACTTGTTGCTTAAGTCAAAAGCTGGAGACTTAAACTTGTCGAAAGTACCATGAATGGTTACTTGCTGTCAAGATAAAAGCTTGGATAGACAGATTGAAGTGCCACTGGAAATCGAAAAACTACAGTGAAAATCCTAGCTTTGTCTTCGCATCCTGTCATTGTATAATTATTTCAGGAAGATACCCCTTGAACTCACCTGCTTTATTTCGACAATTTTCTGACTATTAAATGTTTTGTGCATAGACCGAACTTTTCTGACTATGAAATAATTCAGACTATGAAGATAACCACGACAGATCTCAAAACTACAATACTTAGCATCAAAAGCCAAACATTCCCCAGAGGGACTCTATAAAATCCACCTCAACATACAAATCTATTTCAAAAAGCTTGGTATTCTTCTTTCCACTTGGTTTTGTATTATTCCCGCTCTTTTATTTCTGTTATTCATAAATCATAACAAGAAACTTTGTGCTGATTTCTTGGTAGACAAGGATTGTAAACGACAAAAGATAGACAAATCATAATTGGCCACTCTCAGTGATTCTTAAGGATCTTAATCATGTCACTGCATTTTATAATTTCTGGGAAAAGTACAGGCACTATGATCAGGTTGAACAAAATGAACATACTCTCTGATCAAATGGAGCCAAGTCACTCGAGTAACCCAGAAAAGAAATCCAAAGGACCATCTCATTGCCTGCTATGTAATCCTTCATTTCCCAGCAAAGAACTTTCACTGGTTGTGCAATAATTGGTATTACTTTAAACCGCCTGCTGAGCTCGATGATGACGATGAGCTCTCTTATGTGCACGCAATCGTTTCCTTGACACCGTGCTGTCATCAGCGCGAGAGGTCTCCATGTTTGTGTTTGCTTCTTCTCTGTGCCCAAAAATGAAATCAAGAGGATCTACAAACGTATCTGCTGTACTCTGCCGCTGGAGAATCATGGGCATTGATCAAAACTTAAATCAATACAATTGCGTTACAACATGTGTTGTGTATTGTTTTGAGTTAATTGCACATAGTCCCCCTGTAGTATCACTGTTCTGGACTTAGTAGCAGTGTAGTTTCGTCATTGCAGATCGACCCCCATGGATTTATTATTATTATTATTATTATTATTATTATTATTATTATTATTATTATTATTATTATTTTACTCTTTTTGTCCTCAAATACACGCTAATTTCACCCTGGGGCAACATGTCTAAATCTCACCCAAGATAAAAGATTTCAAAAAATTTAACCTGGGGGTCTATTTGCAACAATGCAACAACAGGGCAGTAAGTTCAAATTTCAAAACAACAACACGAAAGGGGCTCTACGTGCAATTAACCTTTGTTCATTATGGTTGTTCAATTATATACATACCATGAATTGCTTCATTTGTGGGCTATCAGGTTTCTCATGGAAACTGGAAGGTTCATCATCTTCAGACTTGTGAGCACCAGAATCATCGTAGTATATATTCCGAAATCTCCATCTAACATAGGGTTTATCAGGATTTGAATCACTGAATACTTCCTCAGAATAGAAATGTTTCTTCACAAGCTTCATTCTTGAAGCATTGTTATAGTGCTTTGTCAAGATTCTGCAAAACATGAAATATGAATGATGTGAAAAGCAGTACGCAAATGTAAAAGGTTCAGATAACTTTGAATGATAACAATAATATACAATTTGCTAGAGACAGTAAAATCATAGTTACACTTTAGACAAGATAAATGTATATATTATTTTATGTTGAGCAATATGGAGGAACTTGGTACCAAGCACAAGTTTTTGTGCTTGGTAGTGAGGTGACACATTCCCATCCACTCATTCAAATGGGGGACCACATTCACATGAGTTAGAGAGTGGATAGGAATGGGCCACCATAGTACCAAGCACAAAATTTGTGCTTGGTACCAGGTCCCTACATTTTTCTCTTTTATGTCATACAACTTTAAACTACATATTTGAATTTTGAAAGTAGTAGTAGTGCAATACAAGCTGTCATTGATGAACAAATAAATATCAGTTTAGGCAGCATGCAACATAGCAAGCAATTATAGTGAATATCAAAATACAGCAGAGGGAAATGGAGATGCTTCAAGTGTTGCCAAGTCAGGCATTTACTCAAACTGTATGTTGGGAAAAGGGAACATACATCTGTGCTAACTCCCTCTGCATCCGACTTCCTTCAAGTTCTAGGATTTGATTAACACATGAATTAAGGGACCCATTAAATCTCCACATTCCAGCAACAATAGCAGAACCTGCAGTTTGTGTATTGGATCATTAGAAGGCAAGTGGCACATAACATTACGTATTCTCATGCAAATATGCAATACCTAGAGAACATGAAATCCAAACAAGCCAACAGCCAACCAAAATTGCAAAATGAAAACCAGACAATATCACAGAACAGTTAACATGGGTCTAACGTTTATGTGATCATATTCCAAATTCTACAAGTATTTCCAATGATCTTCTACCTCTTAGATCTCTGTCTGTGATTATTTAATTAGCAGCATTTGGATACTTGTTTAGACCATTCGCATCTCGAAAGTAAAATAAACACTCATCGAACACAATACCTCCTGTAGTATCGCTCTTTTGAACTTACTACCCATGTAATTTCATTTTGGCAGACAGATAATTTTCCTTTTTGTACTACCCTCAGATACGCACTACGTTGCAGTGATCTGCCACTTAGATCCCTCTTTTGTGGATCCTTATAAGCACACAATAGCAATAAAACACACACACACACACACAAAAAAAACCCGCTAAAAAAGAGAGAGAGAGAGAAAAGAAAAAAGAAAAAGAAAAAAAACAGCAGAAGACTTCGAAGAGGATGATACTGACAAAATCACAGCTGTTACTTAGCACTACAAGATACATGATTATGTTGAAGCGCAATGCAATTGAAAATAAAGATAACACATAACGTAACACTTTCCTCTTGATACATGAAACACAAAACAATGTTAGTGTAGGTTACATGTTTTAGTATTTATCTAAATATTCAATAGGGAAAAAGTATTCACAATGATTTTAATAAATAGAAGCATCACAATTTTTAGATATAACATCACGATTATCAAAGAAATCATCACAATTTCTCAACAAACATACGTCATAAATACAAGAGAAAAGTGCATGTAGTTCAAGTCTAAAACTTAAAAAAAAAGAAACAAATAAAACACTCTCAAGTCTTAAGCAATGTTGAAAATGCAATTATGTATAACTTAAGACCTCTTGATAGCTTAAAGCCCATAATATAGTTTACGTATTTTCTTATTGTGTACTTAAAAAAAATCAAAGATGTTCATACTAACTTTAAAAATTAGGAATATAATTTCAAAATAAAAAATATTCTTAATAAAAATCACAGAGGGTTTTTTCCACAGAAACCACCTTTAAAGTAGGGTGACAAAAAAAAAAAAAACCAATTATTAAAAATTTAAATTTCAACGAATATTGAAATCACTTTTTAAGGGGGTTTCCGTTGCAATCAACCACCTTATCCTATTAAAATGCTCAATTAAAATTCTCAAAATGCCCTCGAAAAATACACATGAACCAAATCAGAGTTTTCTAGGGCCTGTTACGTGTATTTTTCAAGGGTATTTTGGAGATTTCAAGAGAAATGTCGTTAGAGAATAGGTCAAGGTGGTTAATTACTACTGGAACCCCTTTAAAGGTGGTTTCTTTATTAATTGAACCTTAAAGGAGATTTTCACATTGTCACCTTAGTTTAAAGGTGGTTTTTTTTGAAAATCATATTCTTTAATTTACTACAAGCTCTATAGATTTACTAACAAGTATGACAATACAATATTCAAATATATAATCACAAATTTACATCTTGTTCATAATTTCACATTCATATTATTAGTCACATTCATAATTTCACAATCACATAAAAATGTCTCCAACCTAAGCCATGGAGGCGTATCAAACAATTCAAAAGTAATTACTCAAGTACTTCAAGTTTTAAGGAAATGTTCTCAGATCGGTGCTAGAAAAGTTGGTTTCCAAGTCTAGTTAAAGATCTACTAGTTTCGGAAAACATCAGTGTGCAGTAAATTGAATGATCTGTGATGTTTCCTAGGTCGGTGTACCCAACTTCTGCCTTTTTTAAAAATAGAAAGAATATGTACCCCCTTTCTTTTTAAAATTTATAGATAGCCATAGAAATGTGCTCTCAACATACCCACTGATGTGTTGAACCTTTGCCCATATGTGAGACGCCTAGTTGCTGCATGATAAAATTACCACATTTCATCAGTAAATAAAAAGAAGCTTACTGCAATAGAATACATAATATTGTTGTTAACAACAAAAGGCGGTAGCAGAAATATTATTAAAAAATTGAGCGTCAAGAACCATAGTAAACTATATCACCAAATTAAATTCACTATGCTGATCAAATTGCCAAAAATCCAAGAGGAAGACCTCGTACAATACAAAACTTTACCTCATTTACCTTATAAACTGCAGTGATGAGGAGTTCATAGATTGCATGAAAATCCTCTTGTTCATTAACAATAGGGAGAAAAACAGTAAGACAAATAAGGAATTGGTGTTAGAATGTATAAAGACCTACGCAACCTCCCGAATCTAAAGGCTGAGAGCACAAAGGACAGTTGAACAAGCTTCCTTGGAAGTTTATTGACAACTAAAAGGGTGAACATGGAATTGACTGGATGTGGCAGAAACATTAAAGACCTCTCTTACTAGAATACATTATTTTAGACAGATGGTGGTTGAAAAGTTGTCAGTCCAGGTTGGTTTTAACACATTAGATGAATGCAATGTAATGCATGGTTGTTAGTACAGGGAAACTTGACTGGGAAGAAAACAGGTTTCATACTTGTTGGAGGACAAAAACTCAAACGGGAACAAAGAAATGACAGAGCTTGACAGAGCTTGACATAAACCTCTACAGCATAGCATACCCTGCTGAGGAACTGCCATCACAATTCAAATATGAAAGTTTCTTATGTTGTTTCTCCCTAGTGACTAGCATTTTCATCACAACTTTAAGCACAATAAGCAATAGTGAGTTTCCAAAGTACCCGAGGAAATTATAAACAACTATGACTGACAAGATTCTAAGGAGAATTGAATGGACATGGGACATATATATGATATTAATGGGACATGCCAATTTCTTACAAAATAGGACATGGAGACACAATGACATAATACCAGATAATATATAAGTTGAAGAAAATTCACATATACATATCAACATTCTATAGAAGTTTAGTTTGATGGCATTAAATATTTATAGTAGAAGTAGTAAATATCTCACTATGAACAAAAATATTGATGTGTAGAATAGTTGTATGACAGTGTTAGAAAAGTGTCTTAAATTAAACACACATTATATAATTAAAGACTTTATTATAAGTGCTTGATGCATATACGCAAGGCATGCAAGGAAGTATGGATATTAGAGATAGGTGTCGGCATTTCAAACACAAGTACAACTTCATGATAATCATGAAGAACATAAACCCGAGCCTCTGAACCCATATAAAAGCAATATTTAGATCACATATAGTTTATTCCTTGCAGGCTCAAAGTCCACATAAAAAGAGAGATTCAGATCATGTCAAGCATTTACCAGTTGACAATGAAATATGTTGCATCTATCCAAACCAGGCTCCCTTCTTATACAAATAACTTGAAATGATGATATTTCATATGTTTGTAAAGCAAAGCTTAAAATTGAACAGAGAGAATAACATCAATGCATTTATTTACTAGCAATTCCATAAACTTTCTGCTCGTTCAATTATCAAAATGACTTCAATCCTGCCAGTATGCTAAAGCATACATGTACACACAACATTAGATAGAAATACCATGGAAATGGGCTAAATTAAAAAAAAAACGTTCATGTATTTAAAGATTTAATCATTTCTTTAATTGTTCCATTTCCATTAGGTAACTGGTTTCAACCCTTAAACTTCAATTCTTTACATATAAACCTATAAGTTCATTTACAAAAATCAAAGGTTTTCTCATATTAGACCCTAAATATTCCTACTTTCATGGCAATGTTACAGAAAGTGCTTGGCGGCCTAGGTGTTGGACTCGACGCCTAGAACCTAGGCATCTAGGTGGTTTTCCTATTTTTTATTTTTTAATTACAAAAGTTGATAGTAAATGTAAGTATTATTGAAAGTTGAGGTGCCAGGTTGGTGCCTAGGTGGATTTCTTTATTCGTTTAAGTGGTGTTAGATGGGGTTTTGCTGAAGATCGAAGCACGTAGAGGAAGTGTTCGTAGTGGGAAACTAAAGGAGTTTGGAGAAGGTTAGAGGATGTGGGGCTGCAACGGAGGAAATTATAATCAAGACCTAAAAGATGCAGTCCACATAGGCAAACCATATTACCCTTGGCGTTCCCAAAACCTAGGTGGGTAGCCTAGGTACCACCTAGGTGCTAGGCGCCAGACGGTCGGCCTAGATACCATCTAGGTGGGCCAGGTGGAGGTGTTTAAAACATTGTTTCATAGTAGACCGTTAAGTCTTCATATTTTTAGTTGACACCCCTACAATTCATCGTTTGATTGACCCAAGACTACAATGCCTTGTTGTAGGATGTTATAAGTTTGTAACACTAATTCCATGTTTGCATCTACTACTAGTATACTACTATTCAACTAGGAAATGTCAGACCTAAGTTGCATGAAAACGGGTACGGGTACGGGTACCGGTACCGGTGCTGGTGCGGGTATGGGTATGGGTACGGGACACAACAAATTTGTGAAATATAGGGTAAGGGGACACAACTACATTTATATATCGAGATTAATAATTTACATGAGAGCATTATTATTTTATGAATTATGAGCTATTTAACTTTAAATTCATATCATATTTTTAAGTTTCTTTTATTATGTTGATTGTCATACATTGGAAAATGCTCGTTTTTTAACTAGACAATCAAACCATTCTTTTAAATCATAGTTATCAACTTGGATATGATCTTAAACAACCAGACCCTTGTCTAACGAGTCTCAAGAAATGGACATGAAGTGTAGGGTATATGTTCAAGAAGTGTACAACAAGGATTTTAAATCAAAACATATATCATATAACTGAGTAAATGTCTAGGTAAATCATAAATGTATGCATATATCCAAGGAGTGTCCATGAAGTTAGGGTACGGGAAAATGCTGGGTACGTGCCGGGTACGGGTACGGCTTTATGATAGAAGTACTCAGGTAACACAGGGTCGGACTAACTCCAGCTCTTGAGGTGCTATTTTAGTGAGCAGTCTCTCCCCTTAATTGGAATGGACTCAAAGCTGGTTAGTAATAGCTCTTTAATTTAAGAGTTTTAAATAGTTGTATTTCTAATAATGATTGAGTGATAAAAAAACAAAGAAGTAAAAGCACACCCATCTTGAACAAAATGAAGATCTGCGGGCCTTCTATAAGAATAGGATAGACTTTAGAGTCGAATTGTCAACTCTTAATGGATCACACTCCTGCTTGTCCAGAGAGGAAGACGCTATGATTCATAAGTGGACTACTGGTTCTCCCTCAGAATTCGACCTATGCCGAACCATTATCTTTCCTTAAAAAAGTGAAGCAACTACCTTAAGTTATCAACACCACGCCCTCTTTTTTTCTTTTCAATACCCACCGCCATAAAATTAGATGTTGGAAAATGTCAAGTTCTACAAAAAAATAAATCCAAAAACTTGGAACCATAACGGTTACTCCTTTTTTTTAAGATTTAATCTCTTAGTCGCTTATCTAATCAGTTAAATAAGTCCACTTTATTGGAGTCGTGAAGTTTACGCCTTAGCAAAAAAAAAAAAAAAAAAAAAAAAAAAAG